AGATATAATTTTGAAATACAAGTTATTTTTCAAAAATAAATATTTGTTTTGAATTTTTTATTACATATTAATTTGATTGATTTACCTCTTAAAAATTGTATTGATCAAACAAAAAATTCTGGAGATTATAAAAACGTGATTTTATTACTTTATTGTGCAGAAGCATCAAAAATCTAATATAAATTAAGAATACTTGTAAATTCATCAAAAAAGTAACTATAAATTCATCAAAAACATAACTTTTGCATTACTGTGTGAATTCGTCAAAACAATCACCGAAAGTTTGAATCACGTGACAATTTTTTGATAATGTCAATTATGCGAAAAGGATTAGGGGTTGGCTCTGGATCAAGATTATTTGACAAACAAAAAATATATTTATAATAAAATTTCGCAAGAAATATTTTTTATTAGAACACAAAAAATATTTTCATAGGCTAAATTTTAAGATAAAAAAAAGCTTTTTTCAAAAAATATCTGTTTATTATTTTTTGAATTTTTGTGTTACACGTTGATCTTGCAATTTAATTGGTCATCATCGCTGACATCTCAAAAAATTTTAACGTGGCCCGAACTTTCGGTAGTCACCCTTGTGGATTCTCGCTGTACGGGTGCGCATTTTTTTAATAATCCAAAATTATATACGAAATTTATAACGTTAACAGTCAAAACTGGATATAACGATGAATAAAAAGCTCGTGATATAGAAAATTGTTATAAACAAGTGCATTTTATTATAATCGGGAATTTGGCAAAAGTTCGCAACAACTAAATCTCGTTATATAAAGAGATATAACACTTATTTAGTTAATACTTTATAATCTTTATTCACGGGCATGTCGTAATTTAAATTTTGAAGATACATTACGATTATGACGTAAAAACCATTCTACTCTTGGATCACATTTGATAAGTGGCGAAAAAGTGTCAGATCACGTGATTAAGATCTCTTAAAATCAAATCGTAAGATCAATGTGTAACGCAATTATTTGTAAAATATTCCTTGCGAAATTTTACTATACAATAACCCTGAACTTAATCTTAACCGAAACTCTATTTAATATTTAGTAGAAAGTGGTGGCAAAAAAATTTCCAGATCTCGTGATCTCCGATCCGATGTACCCTTAAAATTATGCACCAATCAAATCGCAAGATCAACGTGTAACGCCAAAATTCAAAAAAAAATGTTCCTTGCTTTACGATAACCCTAACTCTAACCTAACCCTAACCCTAACCGAAATTCTATTGCTATTTAATATTATTTTAAGGGGATATCGGATGGTCGGCATCGCGATCGGAGATCACGGGATCTGGAAATTTTTTTGCCACCACTTTTCTACTATATTAAGGTGATGTGCTCGGAATCACGTGTTCTTCCACTTTTTTCGCCGTGGCTAGGATAGTAACTTTTGGTATAGTGATATGTGGGATCGATAAAAGAGTATATTCTGACTGCGTCCACTGGGTCTTACGCTAATTGTCGGGTCAAGAAAGAAATGTGATCAGAAAAGCATATAAGTATGCTAGTAGACTTTTTATAGTTTTATAGTAGACTAGTTGTGGCAGGAAAATTCCTCGATCACGTGATCACGGAAAATTAACTCTAAAGGATATTTTATCGTTCGGGTTAGGGTATGGGTTAAAGTGAAGGACAAAATTATATGTAAAATTGTCTTCCCAAAATTTTTTATTAATGATTTAAGCCAGATTTTGATATCTGTTTTCCGTATTTTTACATTATTCACTTTTTGTGTCGGATTTGTCTTGCCGGGTTGATAAAAAATTTGCTCACAATCATTGGTTTGCACCACTCGGAAGGACGCCCTTATTGGATTACGCCACATAACGCTCACATGATCGAGGAATTTTTCTGCCACGACTAGTCTACTACAAGTATGCCATACTTACCGTAAACTGTCGTGAATAAGTACCACTTTTTGGGTTCCAAAAAACGGGTGGTACTCGTTTCTGGACAACTTAAAATTATCGCGATGTTAGACGTATTTTTGTAATTTAAATTTAGTTGTGCTTATCCACTGTTGTTCATTGTTTTACTATTTTTTGGATTGAAATAGATATAGAGAATAGTAAAAAAAATACCATACTGACATTTTATTGCCCGTACCATTCTTTGCTTGGTCCGACAATACATATTTCCGTAGGACCCAGTAAAAAAACCATAACACACTGCCGTGCCATATTTCTTTGTTTGATTCGACAATATGTATTAACGTAAGACCCACTAGCCACGTAGCTACTCTTGACCTGAGCAATGTCAGCACCAACGACCATCACGTTAAACTGACCAGATCTCATATAATTTTTGTGAATTAACAACACTCTAGATGATATAATTCGTTCAACCGACCAAAATTCACTGGTCGTCTTAAAAAGGTTTGACTGCACTATGCTCAAGTTCTTGTAATAAAATTTCATCTCTGAGTTAAAAAAGAGTACAACCCTCGAAGTTTACTATATGTACAAACAGTTTGGGTAACTGAAATTATAAAAAACTGCGTCAACTGGAGTTATAAAGTTTCATAATTCCATTAAAACACCCAAATAACTGGAGTTATACAACTGTCAACACTGCTGTGTAGGGAGGGCACGAGATAAATCCCGATATTTTACAATCCTTACAGTCTACCAGATAAGGCGGTTTAAAGACCCGGGGTATTTTACATTCCACAGGCAAAGTTAATTGGTAAAAAAAGTGGGAGGTGCTTTACACGGGTCTTTAAACCGCTCTATACGGTAAATCTGAGATTTCTATGCAAAAGACCCAGGTATTTTAAATAATTATAATATTGATAATAACTTCATCCAAGAAAAAGAATTACTTCGTCAAAGGATTTTGTAAAATGCACTAACGATACTTGGGATAAATTGATTAGCCATTTAGAGTATAACCTGTTAATAATCCAGTTTTATTCTGATGATAAGAGAAGAAAACAAATAGGTATACAATGAATGTCAATGTCAAAAAAAATCTTCTATAATCACATGCCGTTCGTTCTTTGTCTATTATTATTCTGTTGTCGTGGTAAAAAAAAAGGGACCTGAATATGTGTCATATCCGAAAAATCTTAAATTTTTATCTATAATAGGTGTATGATATACATTACATTATATGTATGTATGCTTTGTTGCCTTATCTTTCAACTTTGTTTTTTTTCTCAAATGTGGACCATGTGATAATAACCCCCTAAGAATACGTGTACATACAAAATGTGCAAGAAAATTCCTATTTCTAATTAGTAAAGTATATATATATTATTTAGAATAAATGTATTTTTAACAACTGTTATTTTTGTAGCAACCACATTTTAATTGGCTAGGGTTAAGATTCTGGATGTAACAGTCGTTACAATTGAATTGATTCTATTATTTATAGTATTAATTATATTTTAAGATTGGCATATATATTAGTAAAGATGCGGTACAACATACGCGTTAAAATTTTTGAGGTTCACAAAGTATATTTACGCGCAAAATTATATTTATTTTTACGTGGTTTTTATTACGTTAAAAAGATCAATAGATATATAGGCATATTATATAAATTCTTAGCACGCGACAACACTCTCTTTGTTTCTAAAACTAGCTGTAAACAAACAAAAAACCAGTCTAATTAATTAATTAGAATAAAAAAAGAAGTTTTTACAGTTTGATTTGATATATAAGACATCAATAACTATAGAAAAATGGTGTCGCTAAAATCTGACAAACTTTAAAATCCCGTTTTCAATTGTTTATTATCTATCGATGTTTATTTATAAATTATTTAATTTCGAAATTAAGAAAATTTCCTATATCGTAATTTCCTTCACATTGGCATCGAATGACGGGATATAATTTTAAGGTCCCGAATTTCACTCGTTTGTCAAAATATTATATTAAATATACTATATACGTAAAAGCAAAGTAGCTATTGATGCATTCCAAATTCTAAGGGTTTAGCCGATGCCTAAATTTGGCTTATCGAAAAACAACAAGCATAATAATGCCCCGTGAACAATAAAGATTGCAAACACAATATTTTGACGTGTGCTAACGTTTTTTAGACAGCTTTTACGGTAGTAACATTTGCACCTAATGCACATAAGCGATCATTGGTGTGATGTAGTGTGATTACCTGTCTTAGCCTTTCTACTTTTCGGGTTAATCTTCTTTTCTCTAGACCGTCTTCTTGGTGTGTAAGAAGCGAAAGAACAATGCATGATGCAGGAAAGTGTTAAAATGGTATCCAAGTCATTTGGTTGGTTTACCAAATTAAGGTCATTTTTACTGAACAAACGTACGTATAGTACAGTCAACTCTATAACGAACTGACGGTTCTGTTAATAAAAAAAGTTAAGTAGAATTACTATGTTTCCGCTGCTCTTTCTAAAAATTTAAGGTTCGTTATAGAAAGAGTTCGTTATAAATAGAGTGTCGATTGTATTCTTAAACCTGTATAGACAATTATTCCCTCTCCCCGCTCTTAACAACGCATTATTGCGTGTGTTGAAAATTGACAGTGATTAAGTGATTATGACGATAAGAACTTACATAACTTGACAGATTTACTCATCTGACCAATACATGCATGTGTCATGCAATTACATGTAGTAAAAAACGATAAGAATTTTGTGATACAACGAAGTTTAAAGAACTGTTACACCCCTTTTTACTTATCTTCGACAAATGAGGAGTTTTTTAACGCAAGATTATGTGATATATCATTGTTGTCTAAAGAGTATTATACTGCTTTTATTACAATACCTCTTATTATTAACAAAAAGGATGTATATAAATATGAAGTTATGGAGAATGTTTCAACCCGCATTGAAGCCATAGTTAGTTTCCTCAAACCCGGGAGACCGACCAACGAAGTGACGTTTCAACGAATAGTATTAAATTGACATACCAAACTATTATTATTTTTTCATTCTTTACAACTTTTAATAAATAAAGAAACAACATCAAATCAATTTACATTTAAGTGACATCAATAAACAATGTCTAATCAAATTGACCGCAACGTTTATGAGCAACAATATCAACATGTTTCACTTTCGACATTATTTTCGAATCTTCGAGATTCATCAGATGACGACGATGTAAGACCTCATAGATGCTCTATCTGTACACGAGGTTTTGTTCGACAAGAACATTTAAATAGGCATATGCGTACACATACGGGTGAGAGACCTTTTATTTGTAAAATTTGTCAAAAGCGTTTTTCGCGATCTGATGAATTAACGCGACATGAAAAAACTCACGCGAAACAATTTAAAAGGAAAGACCACCAGCATATCCATCACCATCATCGTAAAAGCAGAATTCCATTGGTGGCGTTCAGGAACACCACCCATTATCAATCAACGTCATCGAATACTAATGATAATAATAATAATTCTAATGGTAATAATACTGCTACTATTACGTCTTCTTCGCTTGGTAATAATAACACGTCCGCTTATAATATTATCTTCACCGAATCGACCACCTTTATCAACTCAATCACCAATTCACAACCTTATGTTTGCCCTCTTAATAATGGTTGCAAGAAAACTTTCAAGTGCTCTGGGCACTTAGCACGTCATATTGGTACTTGCACCTCAAAGAAACTTAAAAGTGGAGGTGGTGATACATCATCAATCACCAGTAATAATAACAAAAATGCCGACACTCTGCTGGTTAATAATTCCGAAAATAAATCTCCTAGTGCATTAGAAGAAGCTTCTGTGAGTCGGTTTTCTTCATCACCTGAAGCCAATGTTCAATCTGAATTATTATCACCATCGTCATCGTCACCATCGTTATCTTCACCAATTGATAATGATCAATTTTACAGACTTCCGGAAATATCAGGAGAATGTAAGGAACAACTTTGGACACCAAATAATAAAAATGATGTGTCATTTCTCTTAATTCCAAGTTTGTTCGATGCCGCATCGGCTTCTCGTACTGATCGAACTGGTCGAATTTTGCCGAAACCAATCGAGAATGACTATTTACCATGTGAAGCATACCATTCAAAATTTTTCGGTAAAAACAAGGAAAAATTCTTTAAAATCTGACGTTTTTTTTTAAGTCTCTTTAATCATATATTCTTTTTTTCTCTTTCGAGGTTTACAAACGTTTCCAAAAAATAATAATAATTTCCTTTCCTCAATTTTCCTCTCTTCTTTTTCTTCATTATTATCAAAGGATTTTTGTATATTATCGATTAATCGTGCGTATTTTATGTATATATATATATATATACCGTTTTTCTATGCCGCAACTCATTTAAATAATTATTATAATTCGATTATCTGTTTTTTGCCCTTTTTTCTCTTTTGAACACGAGAATAAAAATTACATAAAGAGCATTCCTTCAAAGTGATTTGGTGGCCACGATCATTTATTGCTGTTTTAAGCGTTATGATATAATTATATGAATTCCTAATTTGTGTTGTGTAAATTATTAATTTTTACTAAATTTTCTTCTCTTTTACTTATTTTATATTATGTATATATTCATTTTTTTGTGTTGCATAAGAAATCAATAAATTCATAAAAAAATAGTTTAAAGTCACTATGAAATATATAATCAAATAAATATATACACTTCAAATTATGGTTTAAAACAAAATCCTAAAAAGTTAATTAATTATTAACCTGCTTGAAATTAATTAATATTACATGTAACAACTTCAATATTAACAATCACACAGTGAGTGCTGGATATTGTTACATTTATTTTCAAAAATTTTCTTAATTAGTGATCTTTTAAAAATATGAAAATTTCTAAAAATAGTAGAAAAACATCAAATTGATAAAAATAGTTTATGTAATTATCATTTAGTAATCATATGGATTATCATTTTTAGTTTAATAATTTCTATTCTTTTCTAACCTTTTCTATAATCTCGCTCAAGATTTACAAAAAGTGACTTGAATTACAAGATTTAAAGTTCAATTAACAAATTATTTTGCCAGGTAACTTGATTTAATGAAAGAAGATACAAGAATAAATATTAATTTTATAATAATAAGACAATCGTTAACTTATTATATTGCTACGGTTACTTTAAATGAAGAATTTTTTCACTATTAGTAAAAGAGTCATATGAGTTGGGAGAGAGAAATAGACTAATAAAATTGGTCAGTGCAAAAATA